CTGGCTTGGTGCGGGGAGCAGGAATGGGCCGGACCGGGCTGACGACGCGCACCACTGGCTTGGTGCGGGGAGCAGGAACGGGCCGGACCGGGCTGACGACGCGCAGCACAAGCTTGGTGCGAGGAGCAGGAACAGGCCGGACCGGGCTGGCGACGCGCACCACAGGCTTGGTGCGGGGAGCAGGAACAGGCCGGGCCGGGCTGGCGACGCGCACCACAGGCTTGGTGCGAGGGGCAGGAACAGGCCGGGCCTGGCTGGCGACGCGCACCCCAGGCTTGGTGCGGGGAGCAGGAACAGGCCGGGCCGGGCTGGCGACGCGCACCATTGGCTTGGTGCGAGGTGCAGGAACAGGCCGGGCCGGGCTGGCGACGCGCACCATTGGCTTGGTGCGAGGGGCAGGAACAGGCCGGGCCGGGCTGGCGACGCGCACCACAGGCTTGGTGCGAGGGGCAGGAACAGGCCGGACCGGGCTGGCGACGCGAACCACAGGCTTGGTGCGAGGGGCAGGAACAGGCCGGGCCGGGCTGGGCTGGCGACGCGCATCACAGGCTTGGTGCGAGGGACAGGAACAGGCCGGACCGTACTGGGAACACAGACCACTGGCCTTGTGCGGGGATCAGGAACGGGCCGGACCGGACTGGTAACACACCTCAGTACCTCTCGCCGTGCCTCTACACTCTCCCTCCCTCTAACGACCAATGGCCCCCGTAACCTGGTGGCCTTCTCTCCTCGTCCACAAACTCGCCCTGTATCTGCCTCCAGCAGCCCCGTCGTCCATGCCGTGTGCCCCCCAAAATGTTTTATTGGGGGTGCCTCTCGTCTGTCCGACGACGACACTGTTGGCGCCGTACCTCCTCTCTCGCCAGGGCTTTAACTTTAGCCCATGGCCCTTTACCCGCGAACATGTCCTCCCAGGACCACCATTGGCCCACCTGGGCCATCGCCAACCTCTCCAGCTCCTTACCCGGCGTTTGCTCCTGGAAACGCTGCTTGGTCCTGTTTTGGTGGGATCTTCTGTCACGATCGTCATAATGAGTGGACCAAGGCGCAGCGTGATATGCGTACATCTCTTTAATAGTGTACTTAGCAACACGATACAAATGACAAAACAACAAAAACGATACGTGAAGTCCTCGGTCATATACACAAACCTACACGGAACAAGATCCCACGAATCACAAGTGCACAAAAGGCTGCCTAAGTATGGTTCCCAATCAGAGACAACAAGCAACAGCTGATTCTCGTTGCCTCTGATTGAGAACCATCCCAGCCAACATAGAAACACATAACCTAGAACAGAACATAGGAAACGAAACATAGACACTACACAAAGAAACTAACACCCTGGCTCAACATACAAGAGTCCCCAGAACCATGGCATGACATAGAAAACCCTTTTGCAATTTATGTTAGCACAGCTGAAAACTGTTTTGCTGATTTAAAGAAGCAATAAAACTGGCCTTCTTGAGACTAGTTGAGTATCTGGCGCATCAGCAATTGTGGGTTCGATTACAGGCTCCAAAATGGCCAGAAACAAATAACTTTCTTCTGAAACTCATCAGTCTATTCTTGTTCTGAGGAATTAAGGCTATTCCATGCGAGAAATTGCCAAGAAACTGAAGATCTCGTACAATGCCGTGTACTACTCCCTTCACAGAACAGCCCAAACTGTCTCTAACCAGAATAGAAAGAGGAGTGGGAGGCCCCGGTGCACAACTGAGCAAGAGGACAAATACATTAGAGTGTCTAGTTTGAGAAACAGACGCCTCAAAGGTCCTCAACTGGCAGCTTCATTAAATAGTACCTGCAAAACACCAGTCTCAACGTCAACAGTGAAGAGGCGACTTCAGGATGCTGACCTTCTAGGCAGAGTTGCAAAGAAAAAGCCATATCTCAGACTGCCTATCTTAATCTTTTATTTTTATTGGCCAGTCTGAGATATGGCTTTTTCTTTGCAACTCTGCCTAGAAGGTCAGCATCCCGGAGTCGCCCTGCCCTGCTAGAGCTGCGCCGGTCAACTTTATGTGCTGCTGTTGTGAAGTGGAAACGTCTAGGAGCAACAACAGCTCAGCCACGAAGTGGTAGGCCACACAAGCTCACAGAACGGGACCGCCGAGTGCTGTTGCGCAAAGCGCGTACAAATCGTCTGTCCTCGGTTGCAACGCTCACAAACGAGTATCAAACTGCCTCTGGAAGCAACGTCAGCACAAGAACTGTTCGTCGGGAGCATCATGAAGTGGGTTTCCATGGCCAAGCAGCCGCACACAAGCCTAAGATTACCATGTGCAATGCCAAGCATAGGCTGAAGTGGTGTAAAGCTCGCCGCCATTGGACTGGAGCAGTGGAAATGCGTTCTCTGGAGTGATGAATCACGCTTCACCATCTGGCAGTCCGACGTACGAATCTGGGTTTGGCGAATGCCAGGAGTACGCTACCTGCCCGAATGCATAGTCCCAACTGTAAAGATTGGTGAAGGAGGAATAATGGTCTGGGTCTGTATATCAAGGTTTAGGCTAGGCCCCTTAGTTCAAGTAAAGGGAAATCTTAATGCTACAGCATACAATTGCATTCTAGACAATTCTGTGCTTCCAACATTGTGGCAACAGTTTGTGGAAGGCCCTTTCCTATTTCAGCATGATAATGCCCCTGTGCACAAAGCGAGGTCCATACAGAAATGGTTTGTCGAGATCAGTGTGGAAGAACTTGACTGACCAGCACAGAGCCCTGACCTCAACCCCATCGAACACCTTTGGGATGAATTGGAATGCCGACTGCGAGCCAGGCCTAATCGCCCAACATCAGTGCCCTACCTCACTAATGCTCTTGTGGCTGAATGGAAGCAAGTCCCTGCAGCAATGTTCCAACATCTAGTGGAAAGCCTTCCCAGAGGAGTGGAGGCTGTTATAGCAGCAAAGGGGGGACCAAGTCCATATTAATGCGCAGGATTTTGGAATGAGATGTCCGACGAGCCGGAGTCCACATACATATGGTCATGTAGTGTGTGTGTGTGTGTGTGTGTGTGTGTGTGTGTGTGTGTGTATATATGCAGTTGAAGTCGGAAGTTTACATACACTTAGGTTGGAGTCATTAAAACTAGTTTTTCAACCACTCCACAAATTTCTTGTTAACAAACTATAGTTTTTGCAAGTCAGTTAGGACATCTACTTTGTGCATGACACAATATTTCCAACAATTGTTTACAGACAGATTATTTCACTTATAATTCACTGTATCACAATTCCAGTGGGTCAGAAGTTTACATACACTAAGTTGCCTTTAAACAGCTTGGAAAATTCCAGAAAATTATGTCATGGCTTTAGAAGCTTCTGATAGGCTAATTGACATAGTTTGAGTCAATTGGAGGTGTACCTGTGGATCTATTTCAAAGCCTACATTCAAACTCAGTGCCTCTTTGCTTGACATCATTGGAAAATCAAAAGAAATCAGGTACAAAAGTATCTATATCCACAGTAAAACAAGTCCTATATCAACATAACCTTTAAGGCCGCTCAGCAAGGAAGAAGCCACTGGTCCAAAACCGCCATAAAAAAGCCAGACTACGGTTTGCAAATGCACATGGAGACAAAGATCGTACTTTTTGGAGAAATGTCCTCTGGTCTGATGAAACAAAAATATAACTGTTTTGCCATAATGACCATCGTTATGTTTGGAAGAAAAAGGGGGACGCTTTCAAGCTGAAGAACACCATCCCAACCGTGAAGAACGGGGGTGGCAGCATCATGCTGTCGGAGTGCTTTGCTGCAGGTGGGACTGGTGCACTTCACAAAATAGATGGCATCATCATGAGGAAGGAAAATTATGTGGATATATTGAAGCAACATCTCAAGAATTCAGTCAGGAAGTTAAATCTTGGTCACAAACTGGTCTTCCAAATGGACAATGACCCCAAGGATACTTCCAAAGTTGTGGCAAAATGGCTTAAGGACAACAAAGTCAAGGTATTAGAGTGGCCATCACAAAGCCCTGACCTCAATCCTATAGAAAATGTGTGGGCAGAACTGAAAAAGTGTGTGCGAGCAAGGAGGCCTACAAACCTGACTCAGTTACACCAGCACTGTCAAGAGGAATGGGCCAAAATTCACCCAACTTATTGTGGGAAGCTTGTGGAAGGCTACACGAAACGTTTGAACCAAGTTAAACAATTTAAAGGCAATGCTACCAAATACTAATTGAGTGTATGTAAACGTCTGACCCACTGGGAATGTGATGAAAGAAATAAAAGCTGAAATAAATCATTCTCTCTACTATTATTCTAACATTTCACAGTCTTAAAATAAAGTGGTGATCCTAACTGAATTAAGACAGGGAATTTTTACTAGGAGTACATGTCAGGAATTGTGAAAGACTGACTTTAAATGTATTTGGCTAAGGAGTATGTAAACTTCCGACTTCAACTGTATGTATATATTTATATATATATATATATTTCACTGAGACTACAGTCCTCCCTTGAGACTGCAGACAACTTACAATTTTTCAATGACACTATAGTCCTTATTTCTTCAGTGAGACTCCTATTAGACTTTTATTGAGATAGCCAATTGAGACTCCGGATCCTTTCTGACATGTCAGTGAGAGTCCAGTGAGATTCAATGGAACAGATGAAACCTTCAGTATGTCACATCTCCCTATAGTGATCCATGTGGTCCATGTGAATAATCTAGAGAATCTCCAGCTCTGTATCCTCTCATGTCAAAGCAGCCTCTTTACTGCCAACTCAAATTTAGGTTACTACCCCATGTGTTTCCTGGTGTGATCATGTATTATTCACCCATATAAGTATATTTTTATGTCAGCCTTCTTTTTACACCATAGGGGTGGTTCTTTGGGAACAGTGACTCTCCACTAAACGCTCTTAGATAATGTCCCAACTTTACTAACTCATTAAGTCACAATAGTGCATTTATTGTTGCTAGTCCATGTACCTAAGACAATATGAACATACTGTATTGAGAGACATAAAGAGGTTAGCTTACCGTGGTGACGTACTGGATGTCCCTACAGAGTTTAGTCTCTCTGGGGAAGTCTGCTAGGTCCAGGAAGTTATCCACCACCACCTGGCCAATGATGTCATGGCGGGAGAAGCGGTCAAAGTCGTAGACGCTGAAGTGCAGTTTGCGCGTGGGCAGCTCAGCGTAGGCCACAGGGAACAGGAAGACCTCATCGAACACGGGGTTGAGGGTCTTGCGGTGCACCTTAGTCTGGTGCTTGGTCTTGCGGTCGGGGAGCAGGTAGATTTTGATATAAGGGTCAGAGGTTCCGGTGAAGTCCTTGGCCGGTAAGTCCTGGGCTTTGTGGATCTTGATGATGAGCTGCTCCAGGTCACAGTCAAACTTGAGGATGAAGTGTATCCGGCCGCAGCTGTCAGCCCTCCTGCCGTCGTCCGTGTCCACAGAGTGCTGCTTATAGAGCTCAGGTTTGATCCGGCCCAGAGTGGCCAGGGACTCCTGTCTCTGGAACTGGCCCGTGTTGAAGTCTGGGTTGGACAGGTTCATCTGGCGGCGGAAGGAGTTGTGCCTACAGAGGGTAGAGAAACCAGTTATCATTAGCTATCTATAGACATAATGCAACAGGGTAGTTCAATTGCCTCGTTATTGTTTCTGTGTTGTGGGGCTGACCGGACAGAGGAGGTGGGCTCTGTGATCTGGCGCTGCACGCGGGCGATATGGCTGACGTGGTTTTCCTTGGGCTTGGACTGGACCTCCAGGGGGATGTCTGGGGACGTGTGGCTGATCTTCATGGCTGACTCTGGGGCTAAAAGGCCTGAGGGCTCCTTGACACAGTCCTCGCTGTACTCATTCTCCACCCCATCCATCTCCATCAGGACTGGTTGCTGGTCCCCGTGGCCATCCTTCAAGCCCTCGGGAAGGCCACAGTCGCACCATGGCACCCAGCACAGCTTCCATGAGAAGAAGAGTGAGACCCCGAAAAGGGCCAGGCCACAGGTGGTCACCAACAGTGACAGCAGGCTCACTGACACATCTGGACAGACATAACCAAGGATAGATGGAATTAGGGCAAGTCAGGGGACAGTACAAATTTATTTTTTGTATTGATATCAACATATTATTTATGCTATTAACTTTTCTTTATATCTCTCTAAATGTGTTCCTCAACTTGATATTACACAAAAATGTGTACTTTATTATCAACGTCACTGTAAGGAAAGACTGTAAGGCATTTTGATGGACATTGTCCTCTGGGTTTTAGGCCTGCAATTGTATCAATTAGCAAAGGGAAAAAAAACTCAGATTGGTTTTAGCAGTTTACAGAGTACTGCTCAGTCAACATTTACTCATCAGTAAGTCCTCCCATCTCAAATGGCCTCTCACAGACAGTGAAAGGGAATTGGCTTTTGTCTGAGATAGCCTGGTGTGTTCTATCAGTATACAGTTGTAGTCTGAAGTTTACATACACCTTTTAAACTCAGTTTTCCACAATTCCTGACATTTAATCCTAGTAAAAATGCCCTGTCTTAGGTCAGTTAGGATCACCACTTTATTTTAAGAATGTGAAATGTCAGAATAATAGTAGAGAGAATGATTTATTTCAGTTTACATACACTCAATTAGTATTTGGTAGCATTGCCTTTAAATTGTTTAACTTGGGTCAAATGTTTTGGGTAGCCTTCCACAAGCTTCCCACAATAAGTTGGATGAATTTTGGCCCATTCCTCCTGACAAAGCTGGTGTAACGGTTTGTAGGCCTCCTTGCTCGCACACGCTTTTCAGTGCTGCCCACAAATGTTCTATAGGATTGAGGTCAGGGCTTTGTGATGGCCACTCCAATACCTTGACTTTGTTGTCCTTAAGGAATTTTGCCACAACTTTGGAAGTATGTTTGGGGTCATTGTCCATTTGGAAGACCCATTTGCGACCAAGCTTTAAATTCCTGACTGATGTCTTGAGATGTTGCTTCAATATATCCACATAATTTTCCTTCCTCATGATGCCATCTATTTTGTGAAGTGCATCAGTCCCTCCTGCAGCAAAGCACCCCCACAGCATGATGCTGCCATCCCCGTGCTTCACAGTTGGGATGGTGTTCTTCGGCTTGCAAGCGTCCACTTTTTCCTCCAAACATAACGATGGTCATTATGGCCAAACAGTTCTGGCTTCTTCCTTGTTGAGCGGCCTTTCAGGTTATGTCGATATAGGACTCGTTTTACTGTGGATATAGATACTTTTGTACCTGTTTCCCCCAGCATCTTCACAAGGTCCTTTGCTGTTGTTCTGGGATTGATTTGCACTTTTCGCACCAAAGTACGTTCATCTCTAGGAGATAGAACACGTCTCCTTCCTGAGCGGTATGACGGCTGCGTGGTCGCATGGTGTTTATACTTGCATACTATTGTTTGTACAGATGAACGTGGTGCCTTCAGGCATTTGGAAATTGCTCCCAAGGATGAACCAGACTTGTGGAGGTCTACAATTTCTTTTCTGAGGTCTTGGCTGATTTCTTTTGATTTTCCCATGATGTCAAGCAAAGAGGCACTGAGTTTGAATGTAGGCCTTGAAATACATCCACAGGTACACCTCTAATTGACTCAAATGATGTCAATTAGCCTATCAGAAGCTTATAAAGCCATGACATCATTTTCTGGAATTTTCCAAGCTGTTTAAAGGCACAGTCAACTTAGTGTATGTAAACATCTGACCCACTGGAATTGTGATACAGTGAATTATAAGTGAAATAATCTGTCTGGAAACAATTGTTGGAACAATTACTTGTGTCATGCACAAAGTAGATGTCCTAACCGACTTGCCAAAACTATAGTTTGTTAACAAGAAATTTGTGGAGTGGTTGAAAAAACGAGTTTTAATAACTCCAACCTAAGTGTATGTAAACTTCCGACTTCAACTGTATGTTCCGGTTCTCAGAAAGAGCATCTCACTACCTGATGAATGAGCTCACCCTGTCTCCATGTGGTCCCGTGTGGCTCAGTTGGTAGAGCATGGTGCTTGCAACGCCAGGGTTTGTGGGTTCGATTCCCACGGGGGACCAGTACGAGAAAATGTATGCACTCACTACTGTAAGTCGCTCTGGATAAGAGCTTCTACTAAAATAGAATGTCTCCCCTCCCCAGTCATTGTGAATCAGGCTATACAGACACAAAGAGGGCTTTTAGTCCACAGTGAATAAGCCCCTGTCAGAGTGTCCTGCCACTGCCATAGCTTCCAATCAAATCTACTGTCTACACTGTCTCTCGGCCGTACTTCCCTTTGATTATCTAGAGCAGTGGAGGGAAATGGAGCCTCATTTGGTGTAGAGTTATTCCTCCCACCACTCCATCCTGGTTGAGCTCTGCAGCTCTACATTCACAGTGTGCAGCCAGGGATCAATGGGCTCATTGGGCTGGCCCACATACTGCACTGGAGACCAGCTGGGGCTTCTGCACTAAGCCACAGAGAGATGGCATGCCAAGATATTGTGGGACTTCAGTTTTTGAGGATTCACTCATTTGGTTGTCTGCTATGTTGACAATCCTTGGTATATCTGAATTTGGCTGTTCTAAAAAGAGAAGAAATCAAGGACACTATATGAGGAGTTTGGAAGCTGAATATATCTTTCCCTTGCTAATTGAATGTATGAAATGTGTTGTCCCACCAAACTCCTGGGACTACTCTGCTCTTCCTATCCTAAAACTGACAAGGTGCAAGCAACAGAATGAGCTCTAAATACCACTGCCTCTAATTAGATCTGTAGCTCAATTAATTACAAACACGACACAGGGTTAAAGTAAAAAGAAATCTCAAAGCAACACTGACTGACGTGTAATTAGCACTGGCTTAATTACTTTAATTATTCATATTATATTAATCAACCACCCAGCAACCACCCAACACTAGCACTCCCACGCACATCGACACACACACACACACAACCCAAATGTTTAGACATGCCGATTTCACATGTGCGCATTTTTTAAAATAATTGTATATCTAGTATATATAGGGGTATGCATATTCAATGTTGGTGATATAATGTACTAATTAGGCAGCCCTGCTGTGGTTGCGTTTGCTCATACTGTGGATTAGAAAACAAATTATGGTGCAACAATATGTGATGCCCTTGATAGGGTCTATCCATATAAATGAATTGAACCTCTCTGATATTTCACACTGTAAGCATAATAGGTCCTGTGTTCCATTTCTGACAGGCAGAAGTTCAGACAGGCTATGAGAGCAACGTGTGAAAACAGCTTTTAAAAAGAAGCCAAGGTTAAAATTACAAAGCACACTCCTACAATTCAAGCTCCACAGATTGTCTGTCAAAGAATGTGTGAAAAATTATTTATTTACAGTATATCTGCTAAACTATGAAATTAGTGTCTGACAGCTTATGGAATTACAAATTTCTCACATATTCCAATACTATACAATACAATATTTTATAAACGGGTTGGAACCGAAATTATTTACCAAAAGATTTGTTCTAAACAGAACCACATAATTATTTTTTTTGTTCCACTGTTCCGACCAGCAAAATAAAGTTCTGAACAGCTTAGAACCAAAAAAAGTAATGTTGTATATCATTCTTTTGTTTCTTTTTAAACCTCTGAAATCATTTAGATCGACATTAAATTACTTTACCAATGGATAGAGCAGGTTTCTATGGAGCGGGGCAAGCTATGTACATGCAGTGGACAGACAAGTGTAGTGTAGGGTTACGAGATGCGACTGAAATTTGCGGGTGAGGAGAGCGCTGTGATGAAGCACTGGGCATCTTGTTGTTATATCATGCATTATTTGGATTAGGTCCACAGAATTATACCTACATACAGTGCTATGAAAAAGTATTTTCCCCCTTTCTAATTTTCTCTACTTTTGCATATTTGTGATACTGAATGTTATCAGATCTTCAACCAAAACCTAATATTAGATAAAGGGAACATAAGTGAACAAATAACACAACAATTACATATTTATTTCATTTATTTCCTAAACAAAGTTATGCAACACCCAATTCCCCTGTGTGAAAAAGTAATTGCCCCCTTACACTCAATAACTGGTTGTGCCACCTTTAGCTGCAATGACTCCAACCAAATGCTTCCTGTAGTTGTTGATCAGTTCCATGCAGAACTGCTTTAACTCAGTGATGTGTGGGTTTTCAAGCATGAACTGCTCGTTTCAAGTCCTGCCACAACATCTCAATTGGGATTAGGTCTGGACTTTGACTAGGCCATTCCAAAACTTCCAATTTTTGCTTTTTAGCTATTTTCATGTAGACTTGATTGTGTGTTTTGGATCATTGTCTTGCTGCATGACCCAGCTGCGCTTCAGCTTCAGCTCACAGACGGATGGTCTGACATTCTCCTGTATAATTCTCTGATACAGAGCAGAATTCATGGTTCCTTCTATTAAGGCAAGTCGTCCAGGTCCTGAGGCAGCAAAGCATCCCCAAACCATCACACCACCACCACCATGCTTGACCTTTGCTATGATGTTCTTACTGTGGAATGCAAAGTTTGGTTTTCACCAGGCATTACTGGAACCACTGAGTTAAAGCAGTTCTGCATGGAAGAGTGGGCCAAAATTCCTAATAGCTAAAAATAGCTAAAAAGCAACATGCTTGAAAACCCACACGTCACTGAGTTAAAGCAGTTCTGCATGGAAGAGTGGGCCAAAATTCCTCCACAGCGACGTGAGAGACTGATCAACAACTACAGGAAGCATTTGGTTGGAGTCATTGCAGCTAAAGGTGGCACAACCAGTTATTGAGTGTAAGGGGGAAATTACTTTTTCACACAGGGGAATTGGGTGTTGCATAACTTTGTTTAGGAAATAAATGAAATAAATATGTAATTGTTGTGTTATTTGTTCACTTATGTTCCCTTTATCTAATATTAGGTTTTGGTTGAAGATCTGATAACATTCAGTATCACAAATATGCAAAAGTAGAGAAAATTAGAAAGGGGGCAAATACTTTTTCATAGCACTGTAGGAGTGCTTCTATGAAGGAACTTTGAATGTCTTTGAG